TAACTTTGCCAACGGAACCCACTGGGTAGCGGCTGGCGCAAAGTGATACTCACGGAACGACTCGAAAGTTGGTACCATTACATCCCGATAGGGGGGCACGGACACGAGTTATTCACTCTAACGCAACTGACTTACATATGGCTCACACCTGTAAAGGACCGACGGACAAACTTACCTGAGAGTCTAGACAGAAGACCTGGACCATATCAAGGGCGCACAAAAGCACCCACTCATATAGAAGGTTATTACCGTACGTAAATAGGTAGGCCAGAACTAGTAGATCACACTCCCTCCTATGCAGATACTGGGAGTTTTTTATTACTAAGCATTATACTAGGTAATCAGTTGACACTACAGTTATTGTTGCAGAATTTAATGTTACTTACTTATCGTACTCATGGCAACGACTGAATGTATAACTGCAAAACATGAAAGACGCATATGCTTATTGCAAAGTTAGTCCAAGTTGCTTGTAACTCCCCATCTGCTGATAACTTTTTTGCTATGCAGGCGAAAAATGAAAATAAAGATTGCAAAAAAAAAGAAAAAAAATGTTCTTGAGTACCCTTCCATATAATCAATACATCATCTATGTATCTCTTCCATATATGTACGTGTTTGGTGAATTGTTGAAGAAACTTGTTGATAACAATCGACTCCTCCTACCACCCCAGATAGAGGTTGGCATATGAGGGCACACAAGTCATCCCCATAGCCGTACCCCTAATCTGATTATATAATTTCCCTTAAAAAAGGAAAAAATGATGGGTAAGTATAAAATGCAGGAGTTTCACAACCAAGGTATTGTGTGTTGCCAACCTGGCCGATTGGCTTACCAAGCCAGCACTTTGGAAGACAGTACTTCTATTTAAAGGGAGTAGATATTCAGTTCTCCATTTTACCCTGACGAAGGTGCACTACTTGTACCAGCACCTGGAGGCTCACATCCAAGCACACTTTAGTGGACTGGTATCTTCATTAAGGACTCTCTAGACAGGTGACTGTATAGTCGGCATATGAGCTTATCTTCTATATAGCATTATTTATTATCTGGTGGACTCATTGTAGGTTTGAGGAATGTACACACTAAATATGAATCCTCATGATGACGACAAGTGATGGACAACCTCTTACCCTACTCCACCTTATTTGTAGCTATATACATTTAGCACTCTTTGGACAATAAGGCAAGTTGCAATAAAGCCTTTAATTTTGTGCCATCCAGTGTTTTCCTTTGAGTATTACACTATGATTCCAGGCTAGTATGGATTGATTTGGTTTTATTAAGAGGAAAATAGGAGATTGTCAGACTTATTTTTATTATATTACTGTAGCAGACCACGTGTAACCCGACTGGTTACCTTCGCTAATTCCTTCCTTCAGCCACTCTGGAACCATTAGAATACACAGACCTCCATTCCCCCAGTAGCCAGATAGAAACATAGTTCTGTGAGTCAACTGATATTATTCCGGCCACACGCGGCTTTTATGCACAGACCTCTACATGGGGTATCCAACCCAAGATCCTCTGTGCCTGAGAGATAATTGCTTGAGAAAAACATATCTCTCAGGTACAGAAAAATCCAAAATATACAGTACCCCAAAAGTGCCCCACCATAGCTAGGAACCCCACAAAAGTAATATCCCCAGATAGCCCCGATCTGAGTGTATAACACATCCAAAGATCACTCAGATCGGTTTGGTGAAAATGGAATGCCACTGGGGCAAAGTTTTGACCAGCCGGACATGAGGCGCTAGTCCAAAACAGTTCCAGGGAAATAGGTGGCAAATCCTGGCCGGTCTCTGTTCGGGGGTTCCTGTGCGAACACCATGCAACGGAATCTCCTAGTTTCAAGGTACGAATGTTACCCCTGTTTGGTAGTTCATAACTCCCGAACGTTGTTCACATAGTTTGTCGGGAAGTAGAACGGGCAGTGGTCTAATCTATACCGGAGTTCGTGCAAGTGCCTAGACGAAACGAGGGTTGTCTTCATTCGGGAGACGAATGGATGGCGTTCGTATTTAATAACTCCCGAGCGAAAAAGGGAAAAAACACATGAACAGGGGCAAAGTATACGAAATTGGCGGTAGGTTCCGCCACAATTGCTTTACTTTTATTTAATTTTGTCTGTTTATTTAGAGTATTTGTTTTTGAGGCACTAGCTATCTCCAGGTACCAATATTTGTTTATTGCATTATTGGGGGGAATATACTATGCTTTTTGGGTGCACAGTACTTATAGTGATAGATTAACTGTGAGTAAAAGTAGAATACCGAAATATATATGAAAACCTACAATAATGTGGAGGTTTCGAAGCAGTATTAAAGGATGCCTTTATTGCAATTTTCTTTTATGCAATTTGATATATATTTTTTTTTCAATAAACATCATTATTACGCAAAATGTTAGTTTCTTGCCAAGATTGATATCAAAGCCTTCTGTCCACACTCCATTTGATAGTTTATTTAAAAAAAGCAAACAATCAAAATATGCTTTCTCAATTTAAATGCTTAGCAAAAAGCTTTTCCAAAGATGCTTATTCTTGTTTTCCAAAGGCAACTGTTTCACAATGAATCTAGAAGCTGTTACATCTTTACATTATGTTAACTAATGGCTTACAATGGTATAGACCTGCAGATATTTTAAAATAATAATTTTTTTCCAAGCTAGTTGCATGGATTTTCTGTGTATCTGTGCACCTGTTGTGGTATTATTTGCAGAGTAGGCCACTTATATATGTTTTATATTAACTTACTGACATGTCTGAAACTTGTCATTTTCAACATCTACTAAAAGTGCTGATTTCAGTATGTGCAGTGGTGTCTCAAAATAATTCAATGGGGGTGGCAGGGGAGGAGGGGAGCAGGCCACTAGAACAAGCTCTAGTGGCTATGGTGCTTGGAGTCATATACCTTTAATAGACCATGCACACATTATATATTATGTTTTACATTGTTAAAATTTTGACGGTGAAAGATTTTGACAAATCTTAATGTACATGTAGTGTATTGTAGTATATATTTGTGTATTGCTATAGTATTTTCAGAGTATGAAAGACGTTATATTTATTTCTATTTTGCATTTGAATGCTATTTTCACTGTAGAAGATATGTATTTCATTCTAATATTGATTTATATTTTTCTTTAAACAAGTGCAAAGAACACGACTTAGCTATGATCAACCAACTCCTGGATAGTGGAGAACTAACAGCTGGAAAGTATAGAGAATGGAAGAATTTGAACATAATGTTATTTCCGGATATATATTTCCCATCTTGTGAGCAAGATTGCACAGACATTAGTACAGACAAAACAAGCACAGCCAAGACATCTACAATGCAATATAACTCCTAAGTCAAGGATTTTTTTTTTTAAAGTAAATGTTTAATGTTTATACCTAAAGGTTATACAAATTATGATCTGTCCTGTACATTAGCAAGTGTCTACTAAGGTTCTTGAAAATGTGTTTCAAATATGAAGTGTCACAAGTAAGTGCATCAAATGCAATATAATCAGAAGCAGGGCATTTGATAATTTGCAGTGTTTTATGTAAATATATACATATATATCTATATTGTGTATTTAAAACATTAATTTTCTATTTCACTGGATACAATCAGAGATTGAATTGAATTAATATTTTATGTTTACAAATTTAAGTATACCTGGAGTCTTCTATTCTATGACTGCCACAGTCAGTCTGCTGGAAAAGTATAGAAACACATTCTTGCTAAATCTTGCACCATATAGTATATCTTTTTAATTATTACATTTTGTGTCAGATTAGGTTTGCCTTTGTGGAGGGACACTGACTGATAAAGAACTTTGAGCACACCTTAACATGATGTATTTTGGCATATGTTGCCTAGATTTTTCACTTTTAAATTATAGTAACATCAGCCCACCAAAATATAATGCTTGTGCAAACTAGAGCTAAACTTACTTCCAAACATGTTTAACAAAATGTGAATTAGACTTCTATATTTAAATGTTATAAATAAACTTATCACCTATGATGTGCATTTGTCTTGAATTAAAAGACGCTATATTAGGAGCACAAGCGAAAAGAAAAAAAACAGCTATTTCTCATAATCTCCTGTGTAGCCTTTTCTTATGCAAGCAACTGAGAAGCAATTCGGGTTCGTTTGAAACATTCAAAAGCCACTACAAACATTCAAAAGCCACTAAAAAGCTGTTTGTGTTTACTAGGGTTCATTGGAAACATTCAAAAGCAATTACAAACATTCAAAAGCCACTAAAGAGCTGCTTGTGTCTACTTTACAACAAAGTCACTTGCTGTTTTTCCATCAGTAAAATAAATAAGTGAAACTGCTTGCACAAAATAGTGAATGGCATCAGTAGGTTTACATTTTGTTGTAACTATTTGCTGTGAGTGACTATTTTGTGTTGCCCCTGCAAACATCTTCTTTCTAATACCCATAAAACACTTGCTTTTCCCCAGATTCTGGCTTCTTGGTTACAGTGAAAGAGACCAGAAGTGGCTTAGAATTCTCTCCCAATTCCAGGTTGTAGATGATGTCACTCAGTCATGTTGGCTGGGTGTTTGAAGCAAGATGGACATTTACTATTTAAATATTTGCATTTTAATTATTTTTTTATGCATAATACACCCACTGATTTGAAAGCAGTCCACAGGGTCACTTGTGGGTTTTTTTTTTTTTTAAAGTAGACAGGGAAATATACTTACTAGATGTTCTCCCTACTTGGTGTAGCCATGTTCTCATATTACCTAATAGTTCCATATATTTATCAGGATCCTGATGAAAGTCCACAAGATGGACTGAAACGTTGATCTGTTTTAGAGAAACTGGAATAAAAGTTATTTTTCATTGAAAATCCGTGAGTGCAGCCACATTACCTGACTATATGGATACTCAAGCCCTGGTATTGCATCCAGTTTGGCAAGTTTGAAGCCTGAGTGCAAGGTACAGTTTATATATATATATATATATATATATATATATATATAATACACAAGATCCAGCGCACTCACCTATCCATTAAACAGCAACTTCAATGTTGAAAGATTTTATTTGTTTTTTTAAAAACACCTAATCTAGGCAAAAATAATGGGGGTTTATTTACATTATATGATCATACATTGCATAAGCCTGCCACAACGCCAATGTACCCCATCTTTGGCAGGTCCTACACTAACAGCCTAATGTCTGCTCTTATGAGATTAACCTACTTGGGGAAAGAAATTCCATCTGGGGCTCTCTGCAGTACAAGGCTAAATAGGGCCCTGGGATGAGGCACCTGTGACAGGGAGGGGTGCAAAACCAAGGAGTTGGCTAGACTCCCAAATATATATATAAAACAAGAGGGGGTTGGCTGCACTCACCTTAACATGCATAAATATATATGTAATTCACGCTGGGTCCCGCACTCCTGCTCCCAGTCTTGTTTATTACCTAGGTGTCACTCCGACCTCAAAATATAAAATACGTTGTTGGAAGTTGGAAGTGCACTCACAGGACTTGATACTGTTGCCAAAATTGTACCATTTTGAAGCTTGAATAAACTGTCCCCTATAATATACAATATTTAAATATACAATATTTAAATGCTTAGCCAAAAAATATAAATGTATATATATATATATATATATATATATATATATATATATATATATATATATATATATATATACAATTGAAATAGTTGGCTGCACTCACGGATTTTCTTAAAACTTAACTTTTATTGAAATGTTTAAGAGAAGATCAACGTTTCAGTCCCCCTTGTAGACTTTCATCAGGATTCTGAAACATTGATCTTCTCTTAAACATTTCAATAAAAGTTAAGTTTTAAGAAAATCCGTGAGTGCAGCCAACTATTTCAATTGCCTGGATACTGGAGCTCTGGTGATGCACCCAGTCATACAACTTTGAAGCCTGAGTGCAAGGTACAATAGTTTTTTTTTTGTTTGTTTGTTTATATATATATATATATATTTTTTTTTTGGCTAAGCATTCAAATATTGTCCTTATAATTAATGTAGGCACATTTTAAGTTACTTGTGAACTTTAATTGTTAGACTGCTAATTGGCCAAACTATTTCCAACCTTCTCTTTATAGAATTATCTTATATATTATCCTTTACATGGAGACCCTTCGACTTGACTGTACAATAATAAATATAATTATGTGCAAATAATACAGTATTTAGTGAAAATAACTGATACTTTTACAGGCATGTGTATGCGTATAAATAGATTTTTAACACTGATTTATATGTATTATTCTTGTAAATACTTCAATGTAAATATTTTTACTTAATGGATAGCAAGCTACTCAAATGTTATATGCTAATATAAATTGTTATTGTGACTCCAACTAAATCTAAGTAGATGTGAAAGTACACACATTGTATTGTTTTTGTATATTAAAGAATTAAAAAAAATTTAAATCGTTTGTGAAATTTAAGTTAATATATGTATAGATACAACTCGCTGTATAATAAAAGTTTACATATTCTTACCAAAAGCAAACTTTTGTTGGTCTAAATGTTGAAATCAAGTCAAATCATGTCTGGTATTTTTAGATTTGTAATAATAATTTTGTTACCAACTTGAGATCATAGTCATAGTTGCCTCAGTCTTCAATGAGGCATATCATTGCTCACATCAAGGGGACAGTTACCCATTAAGAAAGAAGGGAAGAAAAAAAAGTGAGGCGAAGTACTCCACTTTCAAGACTATAATCATAGCAAGATAGATGTGATATTACAATTAGCTAATAGTCTGTGGAAGCATCATTTGCTTTTATAGCAGCAACAGTAGCGATTGCCCAACAGGAAAATCCCAAGACAGTGATTTTTTTTTTTTAATTCTTTGCCAAATAGAGCAATATGATTTGAATTGTTATTGTGTTGAATGGTGAAGTAACTTTCTAGCTGTGGGCGTCAGGATTTGCACCAAGCAATTTTGAAATTTGGAATTATATGACCTCCCGATGAACTGCAAGTCACACAAAACACACACGGTTGACTCTTTTCTGTAATACCCTCTACAGTTGAATTTTGTGTGGTGCCTCTATCTTTTTAACGGAATAAATGCTTTGATTTTAAATTTTATTGGATTTTGAGTTCATTCGACATTTGCTCATGTGGAAGCTGGCAAGAGAGTGTCCGAAGGAGGTCTGTATGCGCCTTACAGGCGTCCAGTGGCGGACTGGGCCCACCCACAACTATTATTTAATTTCTATAAGAAATCAAATAAATAAAAAATACAATTGGAAAACAGGCACCATTAAACATTTTTGTGGAAAAAAAATATTTTTTAGTTGTTACAGTGTACATATAATGTAAATTGTTACTGACAATATACTGACAATACTATATGTAAATACAGATTGTTAGAATTTAATTTTAAAAAAATAAAAATTTGAAATGGTGGATATTTTAAATTTTTTTAAATCATAATTCATTTTGCAGCTTCACAGCAATTCACAAAAATATAAAAGTACAACAATTGCCATTTCAAGCTTTTGAAAAATAAATACCAAAGCATTCGAATATTATATTTGACATTTTTACATAACATATAGTCAAATCCTCCGGTTACTTTAACAAAAGTATTGGAATTTCAATAAAATGGAACTTGAGATATATAAAATAGGCATATAAGTAGTATATTGCACGTACAAAATGATGAACTGCATCTTTACCTCTATGATAACATATATGAGGTCTGTATATATGGCATAAATATCTACTACAGACTAAATGTTGTCCAAACTCTATAACTCAAACATAGTTAAGGAACGGTTGCAGTGTCTATTAAACATAAACTTTTTGTAGGGAGAGTAAGAATAGACTGTTTCGAGGTTTCCACTTCCCTGCATCGCCATGTATTGGTCCAAATAAAAACAGACCTGGGGTCATGTATATCAAATCCACTAAAGAAAAAGAATAAGAAAAAATCTACAAATATACTATAACTGTGGGTTTGTCATTGAGAAATTGTATGCAGTGAGCCTTTTGTAAATTTGTCTTTTTGGATTAGAATCACCATTATTCGGTCGACCTAATAATGTTCACTTAATGTACACTTATCATAACAGTAAGGAATACAGAGAAAACAAATAATTCAGAGTCCTATACTTAAAGGGAACTGTCAAAATGAAAGAGTACTTACCGCAATAAAAATATATTACAAAATATACAATAGTTTTATAATTATATTTGCCTACCATATGTACATTTTCTCTAATATCCTAAGTCATGTATCTAATAATTATATTATTATTAGACAAATCTTCATGCTGAACCCCTAATCCTGGTATCCAGGGCCCCCCAGCTGTCCCTTTTGCCCCGCTGCCACTTTAAAGAAGGCCATTTTTAAAAAAAAAAACATTGTTTTTTAAGGGGGCCCACTTCATCAGTAGATTTCAGTAATTTAGTATTTTGTGTAATTTTTTTTCTTCCTTAGTGTACAATTTATTTGTTGAAACACACACACACACACACACACACACACACACACACACACACTGTAGTTCACAGTGTAGTTCAGCACCAAAGGTACCCGATGTTTGCAGTGGAAGATTAACACTTACAGTTTAGAGCCATGCCCTTTGAGTTGTATACAGCTCCCCGAACTTTCTCTTTGATTCTTGTGGTTCTAATGAAAGAAAGAAAGATATTGCAATGTTTCATTCGCTAAACAAAGTTCTCATATTAGCAGACAACATAGAATCCTCAGATAACCAATGCACCCAGTTTCTTCTTCATCATGCCTGGAAGATCAATATTGCCAAGAGTCACCTGGCTCCAACACAGTCTGATTTACAGGGAGCCCTTTTCAACACTGCTGCTCCCCTTCTCGGGCCACATGGGCAGAACACACCGCTTAGCTTCATTACTCCTGTCCTCAAGCCCCGTGGCCCTAACGTTCCACGTGGCTGTGTGGCCTGAATAGGAAATATGCTCACCTTCAGTACCACGAATGGCTCCCTCTGCTGGTTCATAAGCCAAACTACAGCTTCTTAATATAAATTGTATATTATAACGTCACGCCCTAAAGGCACTGCGTCATCTAGGCGACCTCATGCTGTTTGGGGTCACAGAGATGAAGTGGACAAATGAGAATTTGTAAACCTATTTAAAGCCTGGTCTGGCCCTTATTCATTGCCCTATCGTGGTTTCTATCCTGATACACGTTATTGCTCATATAAAGTCTCTCTTGTTATATTCAGATATTGACCTCGGCTTGTATTTCAATTTGTATAATTCTGGTATCCAGACCCGGCTTGTTTCTGACTTTGTGTATTTCTGGTATCCTGACCGGCTTGTTATTCTGTTTAATCGTTCTTCTGTATCCCTGACCTTGACTATTCCTGACTCTGTATTTATCCGTATTAACGTTAAGTCTGGCCACTGTAAGGCCTGGTTATATATCTATCTAGTTACCTCTGTTTGTGGGATATGTCATTTCTTTAAGTTGGGATACGAGCCCCATGACAACCACCATGACATTCTGCTCAAGGATGGGTTTGCCTATCACAAGAAAAAGGCCTACATCTAGAATCCAAAATAGAAGAGGTTCTAGTTGTCAAGTCACCTCAGCAGAGAAAGCAATGAGCCTGTTTGGGACCATGTCATCAACAATTGGATTAACAAGATGGGCACAATGGAGAATGAGGGTGTGCCAGGAGAATTTCCTTTCTCAATTCTGATCAGGCAGTCTTCTTCAACCAATCAGAATCCCACCGAAAGTTCATCACTTCCTACTATGGGGGCTCCACAAAAAAAAAATATCTTCAAAGGTTTGCTGAGGGATATCCTATGGGTCATTCTCACTACTGACGCCAGTCATTGGCCCTGGGGAGCATATCTGGAGTACAGACTTGCACAAGGACAATGGAGAATCTTAACAGCAAACCTCCCATCAAATATCCTGGAACTACTTGATGTTTTCAAGGCACTGAAGGCTTTCCATCCCCAGCTTCTTCACAAGTGGGTAAATGTTAAAGTTGACAATGCTCCTGTAGTAGCTTATTTAAATCATCAAGGTGGGACTGAATCACAGAATAATGGTCATATTGAGGTAAGGTCTGGTAACAATCTGCTTACCTGTGCTGGAAAACTTAGAAGCGCATTAACTTAGCAGTGTACAGATGGATCCGGGAGAAGGGTCCCCATCAGAGAGGATTTTTCAAGAAATAATTTCTAAATTCCAGGAGTTAATATCCCCAGTCCGAGGGGAGGGATGCTCTGAATGGAATTTCAATCTGGGATACTTCTTTCCCTCAGTTCCACTATTGTTTCCCCATCAGAGGATGCTGTGGCAGCATTTCCCCAATGGCAGAGGAAAGGGTTCTTCACAGTAAGAACAAAAAGCAGAAAAATAAATGTATATAATATGGTAATCATTTATCATTTCAATATAGTTAGTGAACTATTATTTTCAAACTCCTAGTACATAGTGACATCTAGTGGTCAATTTATATTCTTACTGTCTTTGAAAGACAATGCATACATTTATATATCAACTTTTTTTTTTTTATTGGGTATATATAGATATATACCCAATAAAAAAATTATATTGTTTTGTAATGTGGATCTTAGCTGACCTCAGTGTTTCATGAAAAAGATGGTTTGATATATTTACATATTTTACATATATTATCATAATTAAGTATACATAATTAATATGATTAATCTATTTTTTTAAAATTAATATTTAAGAAATTCTCATATTGATTGAGTTGGAATTTTATTGAAACATTTACATTTCTGTTTATTTTAATTTATTTGGCAAGAAGTTTTTATATAGACAGAAAATAACCGATCAAAAAAATAATAATATTTGCTTGTATTCCCTAACTAATTATAAAACTAAATATTGCTAATAAAATTACACATCTAATATAAATATATAAAACACATGCAGGGGCTTATACAGTAACCCCTTAAGGACTGAGCCTAATGTACACGTTGTGAACAAAACAAAATGTAAACAAAACCTGGCATTTGCGCTACATGTCTGTCCAACCGTAATTCACCTCTTTCATATTGAATGCATCCACCCTTATTATATATAATTTTATTCAGGGGAAACAGGGCATTTAATATCAAATAGTTAGCTATGAAACATAATTTAATATGAAAAAAATGGGAGAAAATAAGAAATTTTGTTATTTTTTTAGTCCTACATGACATTTTAACTGTCAATGTCATAATACTGTTTGCTTTTACTGCAATAAAATACACATATTTGTATTCAGCAAAGTCTCACGTGTAAAACAGTACCCCCTATGTACAGGTTTTATGGCGTTTTGGGAAGTTACAGGGTCAAATATAGCACGTTACATTTGAAATTGAAATTCGCCAGATTGGTTACGTTGCCTTTGAGACTGTATAGTAGCCCAGGAATGAAATTTACACCCATAATTGCATACCATTTGCAATAGTAGACAACCCAA